CAGCAACATTTTGCTAAAATTCTTGTTAAGTAGTAAATAAGTATGGCAAGGTAACTTTTCGCTAAAATCTGCTGATGACTTTGTTGTTGTGGATCGATAATCGATTAATTACATTTAAGTAGTTTCTTTCCCGTACGCAATGCGAGATCCCGCGTGTGCCCAAAATAGCCCAGAAATCATGCCTGTACTCAACAAAATGGGTAATAGAGAGCGAAAATTCGAGCGTATTCGTAAGTGTATTCTTCTTCCTGCCCGAAACAGCCCGAAATTTTCTCCGAGTAAAAATGGATAAAGTGTCAAAGTGCATATCAGCTGTATTGTGTTTACATGTTGCCTGCATTTACTTGGTGCTTTTAAGGAAGAGTTAAGGAAAATGGCCTGTTGATGTATTTTCAATCTATGTACTTAAAATCAAATTTGTGAAACCAAAATTCAATTTCCAAGTGTTTGCATTTAATACCATGTTCTGACCGACAACCAAAACATTTTTCCTTCATTTTCTTTTCATTTACAACCTTTAACTTTCATTCTTATTTTGCTTTGGCCAGGCAGTTAACAATAAATCCGAAATGGCGTATTAAAGATGATAAAATATGACTTCCACTTCGATAAATAATCGAAAAAAACTAGTGAAGACACCGATTGGAATGAGTGGAAAGAGAGTTTTCAAGTAGTTTTCAGCGAAAACTGGTTTTCGTTTAACAGATTTTATATGGACGAAAACACAAGTTTTAGGTCGAAAACCAGTTTTAGCAACGAAAACATGTTTCCGATGTCGGTCAGAACATGGTATAAGTGAAAAAAACAAGAACAACGTGAATCAGCTGTTTCACGACTTGTGGGCACGAAATGTGGGTTTTTGCGTTTCCGTACTTCTGAACTTTGTTCCATTTTTGAAAGAAAACGTTTCTCTTATTCTCTAATTACCAAATCCGGTCCGGATTGTTAGGGAAAGAACCTAGTGTTGATATTATCAGTGAACTGTAATTTTCGATTTTCTTTCCTCAACGTTTAAGACATTGTGATTTAAATAATATCAACAAAATTTCTGTGAAAAACCGAAACCGGAACGAAACCGAAACCAAAACCGAAATAAATTTTGAAGAACGAAACCAAAACCGAAACACTTGGCAAAACCGAAACCCAAACCGGAACGTTATTTTGAATCGGTTTCATTCCTTGTTTCAAACTTCAATCGCGATTTCCCACAACATGCCGAAAGTAATATACGAAAATCTTTTAGCCAGTCGTTTTAAAGTCTGTGTGTTATAGAATTTCAAAGCTAAACCCCTACGTTGGCTCTAGGACGTTCTTATAAAGTCTATTAATTTAAAATTTATAATTTTTGTCTAAAGTCATTTGAAATCGTTTTTGTTTTTTTAATTCGTAGGTCCGAACTAAATACACTCTTCGTATATATCTACAACCTTTAATAAATTTTATAATGCTCTTCCGAGTTTCTGAACATCTAGACTCTGACATGTCTGAAACGACTGTAACAAACGTACATTGTATTATGGTGAATGACTGAAAGCTGCATTTCCTAACAAATATACATAGGTTCATCTGTGAGCTGAGAAATGGCTAACAAGCTTTCTTATTTCCATAGGAAAAAAAACACTATATAAACCTTAACTGTGACCGTTCCATAGCTATAAAATGTAAAGAAATCTTCAAAAAGCTTCTTCCTCGGGGCAGCTTATGGTTATGAGTGCATTAAAAACTCGGCTTGCGTACCCGTGAAGTGGCCACTCAATCCTCATTTAAAATTTTCGAGCTCTTACATTTTTCCCACTCTTCATTTTCTCCTTTTACTGCAGAGGAAATGCTGTCTTCGTATTGTTAAAATATGGAAAGATTTCACTGGTCTACAAATTTTAACTTTTTTTCTGCGAATAAGACGGGACCTGGTGTTTCTGAACGGATTTTTCGTGCTGAACACGAATCCGGGGTCTAAAAACAGCGTTTTTGGACATTTTCGAAAAATTGTAGAGCTGAACCCTGACGTGGTACAAATTTTGCATATATCAGAAATTAAAGGCTAAACCGTGCCCTTTCGAATGAGCCCTATGCCGAATTGATCGCGTGCACCCTTAAAGCAGGGGGTGTATTTGTGTTTAGGGGTGCAGGAAAAATTGATCACAGAAAGAATTTAATCTTAAACGATCATAGAAAATTAATAATGCCAAGGTTTTAACTATATTAAAAGTCGCTGATTACGAATCTGCAGTTAGATTTTAAAAATTTAAGAAATTTATATGGTCGTTTAAGATGAAATTCTTTCTGCGATCAATTTTCCCTGGACTCCTAGACACAAATACACCCCCTGATCTAAGGGTGCATGCGATTAATTCGGCATAGGGCTCATTCGAAAGGGCACGATTTAGCCTTTAATTTCTGACATATACAAAGTTTGTAGCACGTCAGGGTTCAGCTCTACAATTTTTCGAAAATGGCCAAAAACGCTGTTTTTAGGGGTTTCAACCCCTTTTTTCTCGAAAACGTGACGTGATGGGAAGTTTTGGACCCCAGATTCGTGTTCAGCACGAAAAATCCGTTCGGAAACACCAGGTCCCGTCTTATTCGCAAAACCCTTGTAGACCAGTGTTTTCTAAACCACAGCGGTTGGAAGCTAGTCGCTTTTATATACACATACGTATGTAAATATGTCTTCTAAGGCAAACGTTCAGCATTAAATATTATTAAAACATAATATTTATAAACTTTTTTTTTTTAATTACATGACATCATTTTTCCGCTGACTAAATTCTAACCACTACTTTGACTTTTGTGAATGTTAAAACATAGTTTAAGTTTTACTATATATTGTATTGGCGTAAAGCGAGGCAAAACATATGACTTTCTTAAGCTTTTTTGAATTGTTAAGAAATTAAATTATTTATTTGATTAATTTTCTTAAATTTTTTACGACTATATTGAATTTTTTTCATTGAGAAAATGTAAAATTTTTTGTATTTTAGCTTGTTTAGTCGATGAAATGCAAAGCTTGGTGCATGAAAGATTAAGTAAAAATATTTGTTATTAAAAAAACATTGTTTCTATAATAAAATGTTACATTTATAATTTACAAAACTAACAATATTGGAAGTACGTAATTTATTATGAGCTTTGAGCACAAAATGTCATGCAATCTTTTTTACACATAGATATGCACATTTGCACATATGAAGGTATGCTTGAATCATTTTGTTTATTTTAAAATAAACTTAAATCCGCAATCATTAATAAATTCATACATTAAATATAAAGCATATTTTGCATTTTAATAGCTAATATGCATAAAACAAAATATTTAATTGCACTTTAAAGCGATATTACTAAAAATTCACATGTGGCTGATATACAAATGTATGTTTATAAATTACAAACATTAAAGTATCTTTTTTTTTTTAATTCAAAAATCTATTATTGAGCAATGGTAAAATCATAGATGAGCACTTAGGATTTTTTATAAAAACTATACGCATTCATAGCAGTAGATTACACACTTGAACGAAATTTTCAAAATATTTTGTTCTTCCACAACTGCTTGCAAACATATATTGGAATGTTCCTTTATTGCATTTTATTTTTTATTTATAAATTAATTCATGTTTGTACAGATGTATGGGTTTATGTACATACATACCTTAAAAATAAATTGGACTCAATGCGCTACCAAATGGTTGGATTTTGAAACTGGTATGGACTGCAAGGCTGGACTTTCATCCATACAAATATTTGATTTTTTCCGTACTTTAAGTAATGGTACTGTGTCGTAAGTATGTGTACATGTGTATGTACATATCATAAATGTTTTTTTTTTGGCTAAATTCGTTTATTTGTAGGTATGTATGTATATAGGGGGTACATATCGAGCCCTAACTGCCACAAAGATGTCTGACATTTTTTTCAAAATTTTCTTTTTGATGCAGAGCATCTAAAAGCATTTTTTGCATCAAAATTTAATTTTTTAAAAAAAGTCGCTTATATCTTTTTGGCGGATAGGGCTCGATAAATACTCCGACCAACGCTGCACATTGATCCACAAACGAGACCTTCATAAATACATATCTTCGTTTAAAGTACAAAACCACATATCGTCATTCTGCAAAACCGCGTAACTGACATTTTCTGCCTAAAGTTGGATTTGCTCACGCAAGCTCCTGGCTCAATCCTTATCCATTCATCATGAAATATACTAGCCAGAAATGCTTTACAAAAAAAGAGAACCATTTTGAAATATGAGTGTTTTTACTCTTTAGGGAATAATTTATGCAACCTCACATACGCGGCTTTGCATTTTGTTGATACGCGGTTTTGTACTTTAAACGACGATATGTACTCGTATTTTGGATATGATTGTTTTAACAGCCTATCCAGCCCAATCATTTTATATACATACTATGTATGTATATTTTGGATAAAAAAATTTTGCATGCATTTAAATATTTAAAAAAATAGTAAGCATATGTAATTGCTACATACATATACATACGTTCATATATTCATATATGTACATGCGTATATATTGCATAAAATGTTTCTATCTGTGTAAATATTTCATAAAATATTTATGTTTTAAACTACTAACATTATTAATTATATATAAGTAGCTCAAAATCATCTCATTCACGCATTTAGCATTCATTTTCTTTGCGTCCCACTGCTCTTACACACCGGCTCCCGCGTTGGCTGCACTACACATTCTCGCACAATAAATTCATTTCGCTGCTATTTGGTGGAGAAGGAGTCAATATTTTCTATTTGCATCCCCCTTTGCCGTCGAACCGCTCAAGCATTCTTTTTGCCGTTCTGTTTGTTCAGCATCGTTTGCAATTTGTGCAATTGACTTAGTAGATTTGCATTCGTATGCTCCAATGCGTCACAACGTTTGCGTTGCTCATTATTCTCATTGACGAGTATTTCGACGCGACGCTCTAGTTGATCCATGTACTCCTTCTTTTTGCGCCGACTCTCTTGTGCGGAAATCTGAAGGCGAAAGAATTTTATCATTGAATTAGTTGTGAATTTGTAAAGCAAATATATTTTCCAATCTGCGTTTGTAATGACTATGTTTAGCTCAGAAGAAAATAAGACGGCTGTGACTAACCTCCAACGTCTCCAACTTCTATAGATTCTGTTAAAAGAGCTGTGTTAAGACAGAAATGTCAGGTGGAGACCGCAAGTTTCTACTGTTAAACCATATCTGCCTTTGCGAATTTCTTACCATCGCTTACTTAACATCAGCTGTCATTTCTTAGTTTGACAACTCAGTTTTCATTTTACCGCGCCATTTACATTGGGTACAGATCGATCTGATGGGCTTGATGCCGTTTTGAAAGTGATATGCTAAGACAGCAAGTTGCCCACATGCGAGAACGGGACAAAGTTACAACAGAAATTTAACAGATGTCAAGACACATCTAGCAGAAGGTGGAGACGTGGCGTAAGCTTTGAATGCTCGAAAATATTTAAGTGATGTTATTGCTTCTATGAACTGTATGAAATATGAAATAGTATGCTACACAGTTTGACAAAGTTTTGAGCCTGAATTCATCAAATAAACACATTAGAAAGACTTTTTCGCTGATTCTGAATCCGTTTATTCAATTCATCCAGTCCAGCTCGCTTATGAAAAAACTTTACTTCAGAAAAAATAAAAGTCGATAAATTTAAAAATTAACAGAAAAAGAAACAACAAAGAAACACGCCTTTCCACCTTTCAGTCTTCAGGAAGTCGAGAAAGAAAGTATGTAGTTATGTACATATCGTCGTTTAAAGTACAAAAACTCTAAATGTTGAGTTAGCTCACGTTAGATCTAGGTGTCTAAACAATGATCCCTGCAGGAAATGATTGATTAGGAATCCCGTTGATTTTTAATAATTTTTTTGGTGAATGCTTTTGCGGCTTTTTTTTTTTATATAAGAAGTGCAATCTACGAAAAGTGGCGTTGATTGTTTGAAATTTTATTGCGTGCGGTGTTCCACATTTTATTTCATATTATTTAGTAGTATGAAAGTCATGCTTACATATATAAAAAAAGTGCAAAAATTAGTCAGCAAAAAAAAGAATACATATATATTAAAATTCAATGCAATCTTTAGCCACTTGAATCTTACATTCATGACTTTAAAACTGTATGGGCTATAAACCGGCAAACCAAAAAATTTTGTAACCATTTAGATTAAAAAGTTCGAAATTTTGATAAAAACTTGTTGAAATTTCCTAAAGTTTGAATCTTTGATTTACATGGTTTGAGCTAAAGTTGGACAATATTTTTATAGAAAAATAACAAAAAAAAGTTACCTTGAAAAACATTGTGAATATATGAAAAAATCGACGCGTGAGCCACTATATGTGCATTAGACTGTGTCAAATAAATCGAACGTTTTGTTTCTTTCAGCCCTTTATGAAAATTTCGCACATGTGCCATCATTTCAGCTCTCATCTCCATTTTTCCTTTAGCGCAGAATGATATATTGGGATGTACTCGTATGTAAGAAAACAAATTTTCTGAATAGAATATTATATAGTTTTTGTGCCGTACAGCTGTTGGGCCGGTCATCGCGGCCTGCATGTTTCCTTTTTCAAGGGCCCCGAGAGATTCAACTTTAATAGGCATTTGGTAAATTGTGCAATTGGTGAATAACACTGGTTTACTGCAAAAATGTTCAATGGATGCCACCAAAATATCTTGCAGAGAACTTATTTAATTTGCAAAAGCCGGAAAAAAAGATTTGCTTGTAAATAAATTCAAAAATTTGCATGACTTACTTTCACTTGATTTGTTTGTAACAGAAAAGGCTTTAGCACAACTGCAAGAATTTTACACAGAACCTATTAGTTTTTTTAACTTTTCTCCAGTTAAATTTGATTTCTTGTTCTTCATAAAAAGAAAGTTGGAATGATTAAATAATTTGTAAGAAACTATCAGTCCTATCAGAAAGTGATGTATAGGCGGTTTATGGTTTTGTTAGCTTTCATTTGTCATTTTCAGTTTTGTTTTAAGCTGAATAACGGTAAATGGAAAATATCTCGAAAACGTATCCATACAATAAAAAATTAACTCGATTTTTGAAATCAGGGGGCGATTCTACATACAAATTCGATAGTGGCGTCTGGAGAGCAAAAACCAAATTAAAATTTGTGATCCAGTGTAATGCGTGGTCAGGGCGTATGAGTAATTTTTTAGACAACAAATGTTCCAATAGATTTTGAAAACGTACTATGAATTTAAAAATAAAGGTCGTTTCAGTCGGAAAAAATCCACCGTCACGGTCTATTCTGCTCGTTAGCAGCAAATTTTATTGCCAGAACTCCTACCACTGGTAATAACCGCGATTCAAGGCTACTAGCAATAAATTTTTGTTAGAATAGGTGGAATTACATATTTTATTTTATTAAGTTTCCCGCAGGATGTATATAGATTGTTACCAAGGCACTTAAAATTGCGGTTACAAGAGTGATGTTATTTTTTGGTAATAAAATTTTCTGGTGTAAAAATGTTCGGTAACAACCAGAATTGGCCTGCTAGAGTATGCATAACTGAGCCATAAGACTTCGATCAAAAGCGGTTAAAGTAAATATGTGTGGAATGCGATTGGAAAGATTTATAGAAAAATACCTTAACCTATTTTTATTTCTCGTCGAATTTAAAATCGAAACGAGCTTTCGTATATATGTGCTCTGTTTAGCTCCGCTCGGTTTCACTAAAACCTGTTTATTTTGGTAGTGATGACCTACTTGCTGTGTATAACCGGTTTCGTAAATTTTATGTGAACTAAAATGATAAGGATACATCCTTAAGCATATATGTACATCCTTATTTAGGCATTTTCGGATTATATATTAAAGGAATTTTTCAATAGGATAAATGTGCCCGGAGATCTCGATTTTCGGACAGAGGAGCAAACGTTATCATACAACTCTCTTAATATCCTAAATTTCTTATATTCAGTCTAATATGTACATATTTATTGCCTGCCAGGGACTGACAGTCTTTGTTACTATTTCCCAGCATTTTATTTTGTCTCCTAGAATAGGTACTCCTAAGGTACATGGTGAAAGCGAAGAATAGTGCTAGTGTATCCTAATAGCGATATATATTAAACCGTTAGCACTTAAATGGGCAATTACATTTGGTGCAAATTTCTTCGTGGACTCTTTCACATTTTTTATAGAAAGCAAGATTGATTTTAAGAGACACTGCCAGTTTGACAATGAAAACAACTAGCGGAAATAATCATAGTCGGTTGGAAAACGTTTTTGGTATTAAATAAAAGCAATGTTTCGTTATTTGGGGCGAATGAACAAAAAAAGTGTATAACCCCTATCCCTTAGGGAGCTTACCTTATTTTTGATTTTTCTTCGGATTTTCTTGAGTGACTTTTCCTCAGCCTTGGTAAGTGGTAGCTTTTGCGGGATTGGATATCCTTCTGCTTGCAATGTGCGTTTCTCTTCTTCGGTTAGAATCAGCACGCCTGTGGAGCCTTTCTGTTCATTCCATAAAACAAAAA